CAATCTCCATGAGTTTGTAGGGTTTCTGCGATTTGTGTTATTGTTGAATTCTAATGTTAATGCATGGTGGTCTGATAAGATGCAGGGAGTTATTCCAATTTTTTTGTATCTGTGGAGATTTGCTATGTTTCCTATTATGTGGTCAATTTTAGAGAAGGTTCCATGTGGTGCCGAGAAGAAGGTATATCCCTTTGTATTTGGATGGAATGTTCTATAGATGTCTGTTAAACCCAGTTGGGTCATAACTTCTATTAATTCTTTTGTTTCTTTGTTAAGTTTCTGTCTGGAGGTCCTGTCTAGCGGTGAGAGCGGAGTGTTGAAGTCTCCTACTATTAGTGTGTGAGATTTTATGTGCATTTTGAGCTTTAGTAATGTTTCTTTCACGAATGTAGGTGCCTTTGTATTTGGGGCGTAGATGTTTAAAATCGAGACTTCGTCTTGATGTATTTTTCCTTTGATGAATATGAAGTGCCCTTCTTCATCTCTTTTGATTGATTTTAATTTGAAGTCTAATTTGTTAGATATTAGGATTGCTACGCCCGCTTGTTTCTTGGGGCCGTTTGATTGGAAGATCTTTTCCCAGCCCTTTACTCTGAGATAACGTCTGTCTTTGTTGTTGAGATGTGTTTCTTGTATGCAGCAGAAGGAAGGGTTCTGTCTTCGTATCCATTCTGCTAGTCTGTGTCTTTTTATAGGCAAGTTGAGGCCGTTGACATTGAGGGATATTAATGACCATTGATTGGTGATCCTTGTTTGCGCTTGATTTATTGTTAGTGAAGTTATTTTGTGTTGTTTCTCCTCCCTTTTTCTTTTAGTGTTTTGTAAAGTATGATTACTATATTGCCTGTGTCTTTGTGAATGTAGTTATCTTCCTTGGCTCTAGGTTTTCCTTCTAGCATTTTCTGTAGAGCTGGATTCATGGATACGTATTGTTTAAATCTGGCTTTGTCATGGAATATTTTGTTTTCTCCATCTATGGTAATTGAGAGCTTTGCTGGATATAGTAGTCTGGGCTGGCATCCTTGTTCCCTTAGCGTTTGTAGGACATCTGACCAGGATCTTCTGGCTTTCATCGTTTCCATTGAGAAGTCAGGTGTAATTCGGATAGGTCTGCCTTTGTATGTTACTTGGCCTTTTTCTTTAGCTGCTCTTAATATTTTCTCTTTGCTCTGTAGGTTTGATGTTTTGATTATTATATGGCGAGGTGACTTCTTTTTCTGGTCAAGCCTATTTGGTGTTCTGTAAGATTCTTGTACTTTCATAGGCATACCTTTCTTTAGGTTAGGGAAGTTTTCTTCTATGATTTTGTTGATATTGTTTTCTGTACCTTTAAGTTGAAGTTCTTCACCTTCTTCTATACCTATTATTCTCAGGTTTGGCTTCTTCATGGTGTCCCATATTTCCTGGATATTTTGTGTTAAGGATTTGTTGGTTTTGAGATTTTCTTTGGTTGACGACTCTATATCCTCTAATGAGTCTTCAACACCTGAGATTCTCTCTTCTATCTCTTGTATTCTATTGGTGATACTTGCATCTGTAGTTCCAGACCGTTTACCGAGCTTTTCTATTTCCAGCATCCCTTCATTCTGTGTTTTCTTTATCGTTTCTATTTCAGCTTTCAATCCTTCAACTGTTTGAGCTGTTTCCTTAATTTTCTTGGTTGTTTTTTCTTGGTGCTCTTTAGATTCTTTGAGAGATTTGTTTATTTCTTGAATTTTTTCCCCCATTTCATGGATTTTTTTTGTTTGTTTTTTCTTCTATTTCTTTAAGGGATTTCCTCGTTTCTTCTTTGAGGCTCTCCATCATCTTCATGAAATAATTTTTAAGGTCTGTCTCCTCTTCTTCATCTATGTAGTGCTTTTCGGGACTTGCTGGTGTTGGATCCCTGGATTCTGGTGGGGTCATGTTGGTGTTTCTATTGCTGAGTGATCTCTTATTCTGTCTTCTTCCCATCTCTTCTTCCAGTGGGTGCTGGTGGGGTCTTTCCGTCTCCACTGGTCTCCTTCCTTACTGCGGGCTGAAGCTGGGCTCCCTGGAGTTGGGGTCTTGGAGGGGCTGATCTCTTTCCTGAAGCTGGGCTCGCTGGGTTGGGGTCTTGGAGGGGCTGATCTCTTTCCTGTGTGGGTGGGTCTTCTGAAGCTGGGCTCCCTGGGATTGGGGTCTTGGAGGGGCTGATCTCTTTCCTGTGTGGGCGGCTCTTCTGGCAGCCGGGGGGCGGCCCCGAAGATGGAGGGGGATGGGTGATGGGCGGGCAGTCCCAGCCGGAGACCCAATCTCACCTGAAGCTGGGCTCCCTCTCAAAGTTCTTTTATACTGGTCTTTCACTTGTTTGGTTAGTGTTATCCCAAGGTATTTTATGCTGTTTGCGACAATTGTAAAGGGTGATGGTTCTCTGATTTCTTTCTCAACCCTTTTATTGTCTGTATATAGTAGGGTGACTGATTTTCGTGAGTTGATCTTGTATCCTGCTCCTTTGCTGAAGGTATTTATCAGCTGTAGGAGTTCTCTGATAGTGTTTTTCAGGTCACTTATGTAAACTATCATACCATCTGCAAATAGTGAAAGTTTTACTTCTTTTTTTTTCCAATTTGTATCCCCTTGATCTCCTTTTGTTGTCTTATTACTCTAGGTAGAACTTCAAGTACAATATTGAAAAGGTATGGATAGTGGGGACAGTCTTGTCTTGTTCCTAATTTTAGAGGAATCACCTTGAATTTCTGTCCATTTCGTTTGATATTGGCTGTTGGTTTGCTGTATATAGCTTTTTTCTTAAATTTTTATTTTTAAATTTAAATTAGAAACAAGGTTGCTTCACATGTCAATCCCAGGTCCCTCTCCCTTTTCCTCCCTTCCTCCCACGCCCTCCCACCAACCTCCCCAATACCCCCTCATTTCCTGTTATCCCTGATCTCTCCAAGACCTTTATCATGAAGGGGTGTTGGATTTTGTCTAAGGCTTTTTCAGCATCTGGTGAGATGATCATGTGATTTTTGTTTCTCAGCTTGTTTATATGGTGGAGCACATTGATGGATTTTTGTATGCTGAACCATCCCTTCATCCCTGGGATGAAGCCTACTTGATCATGGTGGATGATTTTTCTGATGTGTTCATGGATTTGATTTGCCAGTATTGAGTATTTTTGCATCAGTGTTCATCATGAGGGTTATTGGTCTGAAGTTCTCTTTCTTAGTTTTGTCTTGTGTGTCTTGGGTACCAAGGTTATTGAAACCTTGTAAAAAAGAGTTTGCATAAGATCCTTCTGCTTCTGTTGCATGGAATAATTTGAGGAGATTTGATATTCACTGTTCTTTGAATTTCTGGTAGAATTCTGCACTGAGGCCATCTGGCCCTGATCTTTTTTGGGTGGGAGACTTTTGATGATTGCTTCTATTTCATTACGGGTTATAGGTCTATTTAAATTTCTTATTTGTTCTTGATTTAAGTTTTGTAAGTGATATCTATCCAGAAAATTGTCCATTTCCTTTAAATTTTCGAATTTTTGAATACAGGTTTTCAACGTATGACCTTATGATTCTCTGGATTTCCTCAGTGTCCGTTGTTATGTCCCCCTTTTCATTTCTGATTTTGTTAATTTGCATGTTCACACTCTGCCGTTTGGTTAGTTTGGATAAAGGTTTGCGTATCTTGTTGATTTCCTAGAAGAACCAACCCTTCGTTACATTGATTCTTTGTATTGTTTTCCACATTTCTACTTTATTGATTTGAGTCCTCAATTTGATTAGTTCCTGGCATCTACTCCTCCTGGGTGAGTTTGCTTCTTTTTGTTCTAGAGCTTTCAACTGTGCTGTTAATTCTCTAGTGTGACTCTTCTCCAGTTTCTTCACCTGGGCACTTAGTGCTATGAACTTCCTCTTAGCACTGCTTTCAAAGTGTCCCATAGGTTTGGGTATGTTGTGTCTTCATTCTCATTGATTCTAGGAAGTCTTTAATTTCTTTTTTTATTTCTTCTTTGACCCAGGAATGGTGCAATTACCCATTACTCAATTTCCATGAGTTTGTAGCGTTTCTGCAGTTTGTGTTGTTGTTAAATTCTAATTTTAAAGCGTGGTGGTCTGATAAGATACATGGAGTTATTCCCATTTTTTTGTACTTGTTGAAGTTTGCTATGTTGCCAAGTATGTGGCCTATTTTTGAGAAGGTTCCATGTGGTGCTGAGAAGAAGGTATATTCTGTTCTGTTTGGATGGAATGTTCTATAGATGTCTGTTAAACCCAATTGGGTCATAACTTTTATTAGTTCCTTTGTTTCTTTGTTGGGTTTCTGTCTGGTAGTCCTGCCTAGTGGTGAGAGTTTATGTGTGTGAGGTTTTATGTGTGTTTTGAATTTTAGTAATGTTTCTTTTATGAATGTGGATGTCTTTGTATTTGGGGCATAGATGTTTAGAAGTGAGACTTCATCTTGGTGGATTTCTCTTGTGATGAGTATGAAATGACCTCTTTCATCTCTTTTGATTGATTTTAGTTTAAAGTCTTATTTGTTAGATACTAGGATTGCTGCTCCTGCTTGTTTCTTGGGTATATTAGATTGGAAAATCTTTTCCCAACTTGTAACTCGGAGGTAATGGCCGGTTTTGAGGCTGAGCAATGTTTCTTGTATGAAACTTGGGAGGTAGAGGCAAGTGGATCCGTAAGTTCAAGACTAGCCTGGTCTACACAGTAAATTCCAGGGTAGTCAAGGCTACACTGCTGTCCCACAGGAAAAGGAGATCCACCAGAGAGTATTGGACCGGCTTGCCTCTAACTCCCAAGTTGTTGCAAATATAGACATTTACTACCACACCTGGCAGAATTCTCTTCTCCTTAAATCTAGATATTACACAACTTTCTATGACAAATATCATTATAATAATTCCAGTCAGTTGTCTTAAAAAGATTCAGAGGAGCTCCTAGAAAAATGATACATATTAAGTGATACTTTTACAATGAACTTTCTTTGTCTGATGAGCTTGAGTCCCACACTTTTCCTGTCTCTTGTTTTAGGCTAAGGAATCTTACCTACCTAAGCATCAATCATAACCAGCTCACCATGATCCCTACAGAGGTTTGTTCTCTTGAGAATCTTTATGAATTGCATCTTAACTACAATCAGCTCATGTACATCCCTGAAGAAATAAAGCTCTTGCAGAATCTTCGGCATCTTTTTCTGGTCAGAAACAACATTGAAGTTTTGCCAGAGGTAAAGAAAAAAGGGCCGCCCATTTTGTTATTGTTGCAGTTGGAGAAGAACTCATTTAACATGATAGCATTGTAAATGATAAAGCACTTCAAATTTCATTTGTTTTGATAAAGAAAAATGTGTGAATCATTTTCTAATTCATTATGAATTATGTGTATGAATATAATTTTCTGTTTATATTTGTGTTACACTCCTCTTAGGCTCTATTTTAATTTCTCTGAAGAGGTCTGGGGGATACGAAAAGAGACCTTTGTGTAAAAGATGTACCTCAGACTTCTGAAGTATAGTCTGAACATAACATTTTCACTGCTTTTGTGATAACTAAAGTAAAAAAAATAGTCTCTTTGGATTTGAGTGTGTGTACGGATAAGCAGATGAATGAACAGAAAATAGCCCGAGCAGCATTGAGTTTTTTACGGAAAGCTTCTACTTACTTTTAAAAGCTTGTTTTCATGAAACGGATTCAATAGGTGAAAGTAGATATTGGGACAATTACTATTTAGGAAATATATTCGAATCACACACTTAAATATAGATGGATATTTCATGCCGTTGCAAAAATAAGCCCACAAGGTCTATGAGCTGGTCATAATGACATCAGCATTTAAAAGTACAACAAAGAATTTCAGAATTCATAAAAGAAGGCATACAGTTAAGAACTGGAGTGAGAGTGCTGTCATATGGACTTCTGTGTCACGTTCCAAAGCATTCAACTGAAAGCATTAGTCCTTTGTGGCTTTGTGTGGTCCAGAATGCTCATGTACTGACCTTAGTACATAACCTTAGTGTGAAGGAGTAGGAAGTGGTGGTATTGTGAGGAATTTAGGTTACCAGGGTGATTTCCTTGTGAATGAAACTATTGTCCTTATGAAAGAGGTTCCAAAATTATGTGTGCTTGTACATGCCTGCAGTCCCAACACTCAGGATCAAAACCTCTGAAGCATTTTAGGTTACATGATGAAATTGAAGCTAGCCTGTTGGCATACATGAGACCCTGTGTTTAGCAACCAAACCAAGCTAAACCAAAGCACCTCGGGAGACTTCATAGGAACAAAGGGCTCTTTCCACCATGTGACAGTATAGCAAAAAGTTGGCAGGTTCCAACCCATCATTGCCCTACCATGCTGGCACCCTGACCTTAGTCTTCTACATTCTGTAAAGGTGAGAATACATTGCTATTGTTTCTAAGATTTGCAATCTATGATTCTCTGTTGCAGAAGACAAACATCTCTTTTTCTGAAAATCTACAAAATATATTCACATATTAAAAATACTGACAGATCCTGAAACCAATCTTCTGAACTTTGGTAAATTAGAGTTGCCTGAAGCAATGCTTTGGCATTTGCCTTGGTCATAGTGGCCAAATAAAAATTGTTAGAAATTTTATGTAATTCATGTTCTTCTTGGTCATAAGTAACGCCAACCTTTAGCCTTGTGTCTACTGTTTAGATTTGGATGTGTTTGCTTTTTCTCTGTTTGTTTTCATACTAGATTTGTGTTGTAGTTTTGTAAATTCTCTCCCCTCTGAGTCTTTTAGATTTTCTTAGTGTTGTCCTATCCCACTACTCAGGTCATCTAGCCAAGTAAGAATAGTCATTCACACTGCACATAATGATTTGCTCCAGGATAGACATAAGACTTAAACGCATGCCTTTAATCCCAGCACTCGGGAGGCAGAGGCAGGCGGATCACTGTGAGTTCGAGACCAGCCTGGACTACCAAGCGAGTTCCAGGACAGCCTCCAAAGCCACAGAGAAACCCTGTCTCGAAAAACCAAAAAAACCAAACCAAAACAAAAAAAAACTAGGTAAATAGAATAAGTTCGATGGATATATGGGGATAAATGTGGTCTTTCTGCTTGTTAAAAAGGAAGAGTGGAGATCCACATCTAGGGACTAGAGAGATGGCTCAGTAATTCAGAACACTTGATGCTCTTACACATACACATAGTAGTTCACAACCATTCATAACTCCAGTTAACAGGGGATCCAATGCCCTTCTTTGTGGACACTGAACACGTATGTGGGTTACATACATGCATGCAAGCAAAACACACACACATACAACTTAAAATAATAAAAAATAATTTTAAAAAGTTAAAAAAATATTTTCTGTATCTAGGCATCTCCTTTGTCAGTTGTCTTTGGTCATTTTCTGTTGTTTTACACTCTTCTCCTTTTACCGTTTTATCCCAGGAGCAGCGCTGTTCTCTTTATGGAACAGTTCCTGTCCAAGTCTGTTTCTTGACCTGGCATTTACAAAGATGGAAATCTAAAGAACACTTAGTGCTTCAGACTTCTCCTCTTTTCTCAGAGAATGCAACTGGTGCTAGCATGCAATATAAAAGATGAAGACTATTGGATATGGCTAGAGATATACTATTTCCCGGGGGAGGAACTCTGCCACCAAAATCAGAGCACTGCAGAAACATTTCTACCATAGTTGAAGTCATTTAATAAATTATACCCTCCTTTCTCAATTTAAAAGGTTTTTCAAGTTTTTAGGTTTTAAAACCACAGTTTTCATTTGCTTGTTAATAGAAATACTAGAAATAAGATGTCCCATAGAAACCATGTCGTTGCTGTGGTAACACACAGTTGCGTTAACCATGTGAATATAATCATGGGTTTTATTTCTTTTATGAAGAAAGGGTTTTGTTATAGTACTAAGCAAAAGATAGATGTACTATAAATTCTGGTGAAATTATCATTACAGAAAATATTTCAGGATTATAGCTGTTTTCTGTTTCACAGGGTTTCTACTTTAATAATAGGTAGTGTCTAAGAGTGCTGACTGACAACTAGTCTGTTTAAGTTTGCTAACTCAGTTAATCCACTCAACAGTCACAAATGTATATCATTTCTGTTTAGAAGAAATGGAGAAATCAAAATACAAAGAGATCTTAGGAACTTGCCTATGAATACATGTGGTAAAAGTGAGAAGTGGGTTTAGACATAGAAGCAGTTAACTTAGCATGAGTTATGATGCTCTGGAGTTCTCAGAACAAATGAGGATTTGTACATATTTGACAGCCCTTACCGATTTCCTTGGAGAAGACTGTCTAATCTGAACTAAAAGTTAATACTTAACGTTTTATATTAAAAACTCTCTTTTGTCTTCTGATACAGGGACTTTGTCATCTTAAAAAACTAAAACTCCTGGACATAGCTGGAAATGTCATTCAGATATTTCCAGCAGGTGTAAGTACAGTCAATTTTTACTTTAACTAAAAATCATTCTTTTTATACTACTGGGAATAGAAAATGCAACAGCCAGTAAAAACTGTAGTAATTGGAGCCTTGATTTGTACAATGATTCAATGAAGATTTTCTTTGTTCTAGAATTTCAAGACCCATTCGTTCTCATCTTTTTCCTTGTGTTCTGTGCCTGCTGAACTTGCTTGAACTAAATGAATGCTGATTGCTATAATAAATATTTAATCTATCAGTTATGATTCCATTCTTTGGTTATTACGTACCGCTTTTGGTCACCCCTGCTTTTTTTGAAGAGACTACTGTCCTGGATAGAAGGTACTATCCCATATAGTTAATCCAGAGGTGACCCTTTCGTTAGTTGTTTTTAAGCCATCGGCTATGAAAATGCACTTTCTTTTCCATTTGGAACTGAATTTTGACTTTGTTTCATTTCAAATAACAGAGGCAGTTCACTTTTGGCAATTTCTGACTTTGGGGAAAGGAATAGCTGTTTTTCATATTGCATTTTTATATCAAAGTGAACATGCTGGAACATTTGAGGAAATAACTACAAGTCCATTAATCTAGAAAGTATTCAATAAATACCTGTGGATCCATTATTTTTTTCTGATTGATTCAAAGTATAATTTTCAGACATTTTGATCTAATAAAAAGTATTTTATATTGAAAAGGATAAAATATGAATGAGTTCAAACTATGCTTTAGAAAATTACGTGTAATATTTTGATTGTGGTAGAATATACATTATACAGTCTTATCTTTTTAAAATTAATTCTAAATTAGTTAATTATTTTCTAGCCTGATCACAGTTTATGACTACTCCACCCCTTGTCTCAGTCCCCTTCCCAACCTTCTTATCCCCCCCACCATTATCCTTTCCTCCTCCTTTCTCTTCAGAAAATGGCCCAAAGCCTTATTTTTAATAGGACAGACTTGACACAGGACTTTGATATGGTCCATCAGCACAACCTACCTCTAGAACTTAGTTATCTTACCAACCGAAATGTTGTCATTAGACAAATTACCAACCAGTTAAATTTCTATTCTCCTGTTAGCATCTAGGGCAGTATTTAAAAATGAGACATTTCTTCTTCTTTTGGAAACCACCATTCTACTTTCTGTCTTTATGAATTTGATTACCGTGCATTCCACAGAGGTAGAATTAGTCAATGTTTGTTCTTTTGTGGATGGCTTGTTTAACTTAGCACAATATCACTCAAGTTCATCCCTGCTATAAAGAGTTGGATTTCACTTTTTTCTTCTAGGCTGAATCATAGTCATCCATACCACATGTGTCGGTATAGTTTGCTTATCCATTGTTCTGTGGATAGACAGTTGGATTGTTTCTGTCTCTTGCTTACTATGAGCAGGGCTGCTGCGAACATTGTAGAAGTTTTTGTTCACTAAGTTTTAGTTTTTACTTTCAATTTCTCTAAATATATACTGAGAAATAGAATTACTAAATTATATAGTCCTTTTCTTTATTGCTATCTTGGTGCCACGACAAAACACCTGACAAAGCATCTTAAGGAAGGTAGGGTTTGTTTTTTTCACAGTCCATCATGGTGGGTTAGCCATAGCATCAGGAGGGTAAATCATTTGGTCTCATGTATTCATAGTTGAATGCTAGTGTTCATCTCTCTCTCTTAAGTAGTCTACCAGTTATCTCTCTCTTATGTATTCTGGGACCCAGTTCTCTCTCTTATGTATTCTAGTGCTCATCTGTCTCTATTATGTATTCTACTGTTCATATCTTTTATGTGTTTTAGTGCTCATCTCTCTCTTATGTATTCTACTCTTCATATCTTTTATGTATTTTAGTGCCTATCTCTCTCTCTCTTATGTATCTGGGGACCCAGCCAATGGAATGGTGCTGTCACCTTCAGAGTGGGACTTCCCATCTCTATTAACTAAACAACCCCTCCCAACGTGTCCAAAGTAACCCTATACAGACATGCCCCAAAGTTTGCCTTCTAGGTGATTGTAGAGCCTATCAATAAATATTAACTACCATATCTCAATTTACTATCTGGTTAAAAATTTATAGTTTCAAATTATAGGAAAGAGTACATGTTTCCAGCAAAGACTTGGTAAAGACTCCATGATTTTATTTGTACTAGAGTCTTGATTTAACTCTGTGCATAGTGTGATACAACTGTAACTTCCAGAATACCCTTCCAATGTTACTTCTACCATGGTATCACTATAGCAGAGACCATCTAAAAGAATATCCCTTCGAGTCTATGTTGGCATTAGAATGTGAACTTTACCATCAGACATATCTTGGATTTCAACTTAATATTATTTATTAAATGAACAAACCTAAATAATGTTCTTCAATTACACTCAGCATTCACCTTGATATTGCCGTTAATTCAATTTCTTCTAAAAAGAGACTCTATATCAACCACTTTGTTTATAAACACTCCTGCTTTCAATAATTTTAGCATGCCTTTGATATGACATATGTCAAATTCACTTTCAGAGATTTCTATAATTCTTCTGAAATAAGATAGTAAACGAAACTCATCTGAGCTTTGTTCCCAGTTTTTTGCTTCAGAATTTTCAAAATGACTTTCCTTTCTAAAACAGTAATGGTTTTCTACAAATTATTGGTGTAAAATCAGTTTTGCACATTTGAGAGATGGGGCAAACTGATGGAAAACGTGGTAAATGCAGAGATAAATCCCTGGCTGTAGTATAGTTCTAAGTGTTACAGAGTTTAGTTTCCAAGTAAGGCATGTGAATGTTACCAACAATGAAGACCGAGTAGTGAACGAAGGATATGGGCTTTGTTACATTCCTAAGTTTCTACTTACAAAACTATGATTTCAGACAGGTTGCTTGAATTGCCACTTAAAGCACTAACCTAATGGACATCAAACTTAGTAAATGATTGATATACTGTTTCATAGAGACTGTCAAAGGAATGGAAATTACCTTGACAATGTATTATATGTGAGATATGTGATATTATTGAAATGGTGATTGGCAATGCACAGTCAAAGAATGATAGTGATCATTCACGATCCACAGGCAACAATAGGTGGTAATGACTGAAGGATATGGTTTAAAACATGTTTTTACTCTAAAATGTTGAAAGATATGAGAAATGGGAGGCAAAGTGGAAGTCATGTGTTTTATTGAAGTTGAAGCACACTGTGGCCTCCAACGGGAATTGCGCTCTGCAGAATAGACTTAAGTGCTTGTTTTACTGCTGTTCTTTTAAAGATGATCTTTATTGGAGCTTTATGTTGTTTCATGCCCTAAAATGGTGTGCAACTTACAAAATGCCATTAGTTTGCAGTAGTATATGATTTTTATTGAGATAGCTTTTTAAATATTTGAAGCTGATTTTTTTAGGTTTACCTATTTTATGTATGAGTGTTTTGCCTGCATCTCTCTCTCTCTGTGGACCGTGTGCATACCTGGTGCTTATAGAGGTCAGAAGAGAACTGGAGTTATGAACATCTGTGAACAGCCATGTGGGTGCTGGGAGTCTATCTTATGTCCTGTGTAAAAATAGGTGCTTTTAAGTGCTGAACTGTCTTTCCAGTCCCTCACGCTCCCAAAGCTGATTTTAAATAAGAATGTTAACTGGAAACCTGATTACAATGTGCGCCACCACAACCTTCTTGGCATTTTCTGACTGTAGAAGTACTTTGGCACTGAGGATGTAGTACAGTTGGCAGATTGCTTGTTTAGCATTCATGAAACCTTGCTTCATCCCCAGTACTTCTTATTCCTGTGTAGTGGCACATGCCTGTCATGCTAATGGAGCTAGGACAGTCAAACATTTGAGATCATCCTTGGCTTCATAGCAAGCTTAGGCCAGCCTGGAATGCAGGAGGTATTGTCAAACAAGTGAAAACAAACACAAAACAAGATGTAAAGCAATAATAGAAGGAAAACTTCATCATATAAAAGGCATATCCATATGTGTATGTTAATGAAAACAGAGGCCATGCACTTGAAAGAGGACAAGAAGGGTTGTGGAGAATTTGGAGGAAGGACAGGAAAGGGGAAAATGTTGCAAATATATTATAATCTCAAAAGATTAGAGAAATAAGTTTTAAAAGGTTTATAATATTGTAAATTACAAGGTGTGAGGTGCCTTTAATTTATCTTTCAGAAACAATATGTTATTTTCTTCCAGTATTTAATTTTGATATATTTGCTTTAGAATAAATTGTAAATATACTTCATGAAAGGATATATCTTTTTCACTTGACACTATATATTGAATACTTCCCTCCAAATACTGTATTTAAAATATTTGATTATAATATTGTATCCTTTTTATATACTTTCATTTATTGGAATAGATTGAAAATAGCAGCATTTGATTAAAGATTATCTGAAATCAGACATCTTTTATTTTAATTTTTCTTTGAGAGAACGAGACTTCCAAAATGTGACCCATGATGCATAGCAGACAACATGTGGAACACTGGCAATTATAGTAATGGCTGGTTTAGTAGTTTCCTGTGCTTTCCATAACTGGGATTAAAGGTCACATGTCTCTATTGTTTCTTCTTAGAAAGATACAAGTCCTTGAACTTTGTCCATCCTGATTCAGTATAACTTCATCATAACTGATTTTATCTTCAAAACTCATAGGGCAATGCTGTTTTTGGGGTGGGTAGTACTACTCAACCTAGTACACTTTTGTGGAGTGTAAATCTTCCTATTGGTCTGTAACAGATATAAGTGTCCTGTGTGAAGAGAGGTCAGTCCTGCTAAGCTTTCTTGAGTGTCTCCTTTGGCCATTCCCTTCCAAAGTGTTGCATTTGAAGGTTAGAGGAATTCCCACCATCAGAGGGTTCCCAGCATTCATATTAGGCAGCTTTGATGTCCCTGGTCTTGTGTGTGTATACATCCCTGTACACATGCACATAATTAAAAATAAAATAAAAATTTTTTGAATAGATTTTCTTTATTGATCATTTAACATTTATTTAGTGTTTGTGTGTGAAGGCAAGTGA